TTCTGAGTTAACTTCCAAAAATGCTTTTTCAGTTAGGCTGGCCTGCCAGGCACATGCCAGGAGAGGCATTTTCCTACCTTTATTTCACGTTCTTTGTCCTCATGTGGAAAGTTCTCCATCTTTTTTGCTCAATTGATAATAATAATCTAGATTTTTAAGAAGATCTAATGTCCTCTTGGTTTAAGACTCAAAGTCTCATATTACACCCTCCATCATTTTCAGGTTTGCACTATTTTTTTGTTTCTTAGAATGATTTTAAGTGTCTATGAAACAGAAGATAACAATGAAAATAAGTCATTTAATTACAATTAATGTATGTTTAACAATACTGTGCTATAAAGCAGAGAAGATCAGAGTGGTAGAGACTATATTTGTAGCATATGGTGTGTATATTTGTGTAGCATATGGTGTGTATGTTTGTGTGCGGCGTGTGTGTGTGTGTGTGTGTGTCCCAGAAACCATAACAGAGTAGATACAACCTGCTTGGGAATTAATTGTTAATTGATTCAGTGATTGAAATCTGAATTTTTGTTAATACCATATTTACTTGTATAATTTTCTCACTTCCCCCCATTATTTTCATGAGCATTTGGGTCCCAGTTCTCCACTGCCTGCAAGAATCACTCCCTGGAGCATCTCCAAATTACTCAACAACAATAGCTTTAATAAAGTACTGCAGCAGTGAGTGGCAATGTTAATTAGAATTGAGATCTCCTGACATGTTTGCTTTCCTTCAGCAATCCCTCCACTCCTCAAAAGAGCTGTTAAAAACAACCATTTCAAGTAGCTAAACTACTTTTGGTAAAGCAATTGTCTGTGACTGATAGAAGCTTGTGTGTGTGTGTACGTGTGTGTGTGTGTGTGTGTGTGTGTGTGAGAGAGAGAGAGAGAGAGAGAGAGAGAGAGAGAGAGAGAGAGAGAGAGAGAATAAATGAACAACCTAAGGTGGGAAGTTATAGTTAGAAACTTCCTTTCACTCTATATGATGTAAGGTATGGCATTGAGTACCCATGTAGCATAGGGAAAGGGATTATAGATTTTTGTTCTAATGTTTCTGGTGGAGGATTAGTAAGGAGATAACCATAAACGAGTGGGGAGAATGAGAAGCAGTTAATACCAATTCATTCTCCTCTGTTCCAAAACAGTTCAAACCCCTTCCTGTACCTACTTGCCTATTCTGGACAAAGACCATTTGTGGGTGAATATGCTTCAGGTTATTGGATGGTTTGTTTTAAACATCAAAGTTGAGCGAACATCAGATTCTCTATTTTATGTTTTCTCTAATGGAAAGGTGGTGTTTCTAATATTTACATTTTGCATTTCTTTTAATATGGGCACAAAAACTTTATAGTCAATTTTCCTTTTTTTTCTTTTATCAGTATAGGGGAATCAAACCCAGGGCCTTGCACATGACAGGTGAATGTTTTACCACTGAGCTACATCTATAGCCCTTCATAATCAAAGTTTAAAAAAATATTTTCTCCTCTTTCATCTCCATCTAACTCTCTCAGAATCTAACATGGAGAGTGTGAGGGACTAGAAATATTTATGCCATTTCTTCTGGTCAGTGGACAATTTACTGCTCTAAAAACAGAGGTAAAGGCTCTGGAGAACAGATTTTAGAGGCTGCAAACCAAAGTACATGCTTCATGGGTTTGAGGCAAAAGAAACTGAAAGTGTGATATAAATTCTTTTTAGACACTACATTTCTTAGGAGATTCATGTCGAAGTGTTAAAGACACTATATGGTGAATGTTTACCAATTTGTATGCAATTTACTAAATGTGCAGTAAGATTTTAGTTGTGGACCTTCTAAATGTATCATTTCTGTTCATCTCCCAGATTTTCCTTCCTTTGTCCATATCCATACTGGAAATATTTGAATTCTCAGTGCCCCCTCTCAATTTCTTTCTTATTGTATCTTCTGTTCTTTTTAGGTTTATCCAATCTGTAGTTCTAATCCCTCCAAAGATCTCTCATCCCAGCCTTGAGTCCCACTAAATCTCATTAGCTTCAGGCTTTTAATTCCAATTGCATATGGTCTTGTCTACTAGATATCTTAGACCACTTTCAACTTAACATAGTCAAAATTTAAGTCTTGACTTTTCCTCCTAAACCTTGTTCATATCTCACGAAATATCTATCTCAGTGAATGATGTCCCTGTCATCCCAATATAAAGCCTTGGGGTCATGACTGGATCTTCCATGGTGTACACCAAAGTACATTATTCTTATCTTTAAAGAAAATGACCACCAAATATCCATGAACCTATCCATGCTTACACAATATCTTTGCCCCCTTATCCATAAAATAGGTTGTTTTCATTTCTAGATATAAGGCTGAATCTCTTTGATTGGGGGAAAGAAAGCTCTTGTTAAATCCACAAAAATCCCATTTTTCTTCACTCATCAGTGGTTTGGACAGGAGCTGTTTCCCAGTTTTTACCAATAGAAGTGAGACAGTCTGCTGTACCATGATATCCAAAACTGTAATCATCCACTCATGATCATGAAATAAATCTTTTTTTTTTTTTTTTTGGTACCAGGGATCGAACTTGGGTCCTTACGCTTGCGCAGCAGGCGGTGAAACCACTGAGCTAAATCCCTGGCCCCTATGAAATAAATCTTAACTGTGGCAAAGCAGGGGACCTAGAAGGTTAGGAAATTTTCCAAGTCTTTGGTGATATCCCTAAGCAGCTGACTAACAAAGGTCGTTATTATATAAGACACTGTCAATTTGTGCTTTATCATTGAAAACGTTTCTAATTAATACACAAGGTCCTTCAGGGTTTTTGCCATCTACATTTGTCCTTTCCTTCACACTAAACATACTTTTAAAAAAAATCTCACAGATTTGTAGGCTTTCATCCACAAAACAGACTTTTTCTTCTTCATATTTCTGGTGAGCAACTTTTTAGGTTTCAAGTCCTCATTCAAATGTTACCTCCTCCAACAAGTTTTATTTTATCCATCAAAAGCTCTTGATTATTTCTCCCCAGATCATAATCTCCCAGACGAATGAACTGATTCTCTTCACATAATACTTTATATATAACTCATACAGTTTTATGTGTGAATTTGACTGGGCTAAGGCATGCTCAGTTAGCACATTATTTCTAAGTCTGTTTGTGGTGTTCTTTCTGGAAAAGATATGTATTCTAATCTGTAGATCAAGTAAAGAAATCAACCTCACCAATGTGAGTGGGCATCAAGTGCCCACTGGGTGCCTGAAGAAAACAAGAAGGAAGAAGGACAAATTCACTCGTTCCCTTGAGTTGTCCATCTATCTCCTGATTTTGGACATTAGCGTCTGGTTCTTGAATGTTTGGACTCAGACTTGGACTTGTGCCATTGATGCCCCTGGTTCTTAGGCCTTTCAGGTGGGTTATACGACACCATTGGCTTTCCTGGGACTGCAGCTTGCAGCCAGCAGATTAAGGGACTTCTAATCCTCCATAATTATTTTAGCCAGACCCTCATAAGAAATCTCATTCTGTATGTCTGCGTATATACTGTTGGTTCTGTTTCTCTGGAAAATTCTGACAATAAAATGTGTTGTAATTATCTGTTTCTCTTCCTTACTCCAGGCATTGAGCCTCAAAAGCAAAGACATTTTATTCATCATTGCACTCCTAGACCCTAGAACAGAAATTGTTACATCATAGACACTCAGGTAATACTTCTGGTTCTTACAAAATATATCTGGGGTCACATTCTATTATTCATATATTCTAGATAGAGTCGACATACATTTAGACACATCTTTAAAAACATTAATAATTATCCCCCACACTAATCATAACCCCAACTGATAAGTAATGTTAGCCATTTTTTGGAGGGTTAACTTTTTTGACCCACAAAAAAAATTATTTTTTCTCTTGTTTCTTTTTTCTACCAGCAAAATGCAAAATATCTACTTTTCCTACACCTATATCAATTTATGCCTCACTATAAAATAAAATTAAATTACTGCTAAACACATATAATATTTCTTCTGCCAGATTTGTGCATATGCTATAAAGTTGATTCTCCACATGATACATGCCAGGCCACTATCAAAGTTTTAGATAGGGGAGAGAGTCTGGGGAAGCTACTGCTGGGTATTTTCCCAGGAATTCTCTCTGAAGATCATTCATCCTGTTAAAATTTTAACTTGTGCATGAGCGTAAGAGTTACCACAGGCTACATTCATGTAAATTGCTTTCTAAAATGAGTTTCAAAGTTGAAATGAACATGAAAGGCTTGGTCTTTTCTTCAGAGCCTTAACATTCTTAGGAAAGAAAAACCTGAAAACTACAGGAGGTTCCTTGATTATTCATTACTTCAATTGACAGCTCTCCATGAGTCCAGCATGTTGATTATTCAGTTCAAAGTAAACACATGCCACTTTTAAAAACTCTCATTCATAACACTGCATTTCATATTTTAATTTCAAGAGGTGAAATTTAAAGGTGTATTAGGTTAAAATTTTATATCTCTTTTGACTTAGATTTGGAAACTTAGTACTGTACTCTGCTAAGTTAATAGTTTTAGCTTACCACTTCAAGATGCCTCAAAATATCTACTATCTCTACTGCCCTCAGATCATCTTCATTGCATTTATGTCCCCAATTTTGCTTTTGTTCAAATTTTACCAGTTGTCGAAAATAATTTTTGAAGCAATGGCTACAAAACAATAAGTTGAGTTCCATTAGATAAATGGCATCATGTGAAGCCTCTAGATGTTTTTGTAGAAATCTGGCACAAAGTTTTTCAAGTGGTCATCATGCAGCCATGCACAGCTCCCAGAGCACCATCTACTTACCATCTCTGTGAAGAGCGGTACCCTGGAGTGGTACAATAGATTATTACGCTGCTTTACATTATTGATTGCTTTCTTTTGCTGTCTCTTTGGAATGGAGAGAGGTGTATTGTGGTGATGGTTCTCTAAGTGATAATTGCCTGAACACAGTTCCTAGAATTAAGAAGCATCACCATCTGGAAAATCAAAGGCTGCTTACCTGAGCTGTGGTTTCCTGCCACCAAGGTGGGGCTCACAGAGCATCTTCCCATTCTGCTGGTGACCACAGGTGGGCCTGGGGTTCCGTCCCATTCCTGAGCTTTGACAGGCTCTCTGGAGGAAGCCGCTCCGTGGTGCCCTCTCTCTTTACTGTCCAACTTTGGTAATGGCTCCGTGCTGTGGCTTCGGACTTTCAGCTCCTCTGTGGACTCTGTATAGTAACCAAAGTAACCTTCTGTTAACAAAAGTGAAATCCTTCCCAAAGTCTTTTTTGTTTTTAAATTACAGAATGATTTTCTAAAAGGCTTTCAATATATTGTTGGAAACTTAGACTGGTGTTGGAGATGGAACATTTAAATACAACGGAAATATAGATCCCATGGAACCATTTATTTTTCCTGAGTCATATAGGTTATATCACCAGGGTGAATACATATTTTTCTTTGGAAAAAGAGTCCTTGGATGAATGTATTTAGTAACTCTTCCCTTGTGTGCATCTCTAAGGGAATTTCTTAAGAGAACTTTACACCCACTCTCTTTACATCTTTCATTCACTTTATGACTACTGTAACATGAATTTAGCCCAACCACTCTACCAAAAGTGTTACTGATAAGATCACACTATGTGTTTCAACTGACAAAGTTCAAAGACATTTTTTTGCCATTGATAGTTGTTCTGTTACTTATTATTTATATGTTTCTTTCTTTGGTCTCCCTGATAGTTCATCTTCCTGTTTTTGGAACTATGTCTAACACCTCTGCTGGGTCATTGTACCTTCTCTTTCTCTATACACCCCTTACACATTGGCTGTATCTGCAGTACTGCCTTAGCCACTACTCTCATTTTCTATATACTCTTCCTGTGATTTTTATCCTGCTGGATTCAGCTAGCAATCATCTGATTGATAATGATCTTTAAGTGATCTACCAGAAGTCTGGGCCATTATTTTAGCTGTATATTTATTTATCCAGTTGTTTTCTAAGTGAATTCATCTGGAAGTGCCCTGAATATTAAAAAGTCAACATTCTGATACTGAACAGATGTTTATTTCTCCCTAAACTGATGATTTTTCCTGTCCATTCAGTCAAACGTGCTAGAAGCTTGTCTCTCCTAATATAGCAATCAGAAGACTCTGTGGATTTATTTCTAAACATCTTGCTGTCCCTTCTCTTCTACTTTGGATCATGTCTACCTAAACTCTTCTACTCCAAACTCTAATCATCTCCCTTGAATTAGTGCAATGTGTCTCTGGCTTTTTCAGTCCCTAAGTACAAGCTCCTTATATTGCCAAGCTCAGCTGTGTAAAATGCAAATCTCATTTTAATGTAAGCCTGACTAAAGTCCTTTAAGGAAACCTCCAGTTACCTCAGAACCATGTCTAAGCTCCTTATCAGGCCCCCAAGAATCTCCAATGTCTCACTGTTTCCTTTCACTCTAGCCTTGTTACTTTCTATTGATCTCAGTATTCAAGAAACAGTACTAAAGGGTTTATAGCTTCTGTCTTCATACTCTATCCCCAAGAAAAACAGCTATTATCTACAACCACTACTCCGTGCTCTATATGTCCTTCAATTTCATCTTCTCTCAACTACTTCCACTTACCCTGGTTACACTTGCTCAAGTGCACTCTAAAACATCCTCACTCTCATCACTCTCTCTGCCCTGTCCTTGCCTTATATTATCTCTCTGTGTATGTGCCATCTCCCCAAATCCCTGAATTATTTACAGGCAAGTGGTGGGCTATGGTGTCCTCAGGACCTTGTATATTAATAGATTCCACTAAATTAATTTATTTATTAACTTCCTTAACTCCTAAGACATCTTTTTGATATGTGTAAAAATGGCAATATTTCTAATGGAAGAAAGAATCAAACGATAATACATGTGCCAAAGTGACACTGAGCTGATAGTATTTTGCAAACTCTACTTACAGAGTAGTCACAAGCTTTAAAACTGACAAAGTTAGAAGTTTAATTCAAATACAAGATGCTTGAGAAAGACTAAAATATAAAAAAACCTAATGATTCAAAGAATTTGTAATTTTGTCTGTTTTCTTTACATTTAGGTTCAAATACTCATCAGCTTTCAGCAGGGTGTTAATACAGATGTCATACTTTGGTCCCAATATCTGGATCTGTGGGACAAAGAGCAGGTTGTGATATATTGAGCAGCCATGGTCAGCAGTCTGAGGGGCCTCTCAGTGTTGCAAACCTGTGATCCAAGCAATGGAACTTTTTGTTTCTCTTTGGGAAGCCTTATTTTTTCTTAAGTAGAAAATGGACCCTGCCTAACTTCCTTGTTTCTATTTGAAGAATTTAATAACAGTACACATTTTAAAATATTTTGGAAAATATAAAGTGCCAAACAAGTAAAGTAATACTCATTCAAATAAATAATAGCCCTTCATTCTTCATGAATTCATTTAATATTTTTCTTCATTTAAACTAGATAATCACATAAGAAACTCTACGTACAAATGGAAAGTTCTTAAATGGAACTCTAACCCATTATCTACAATAACTAGTCCAGGAAGCCAGTCTTCTAAATATCAGTCACACTCATAGGAAGCCAAACCACTATCTTTACTACTAATTCAGGTGTGATCAAATATACAACGAATCTTACTGCTTAGTGCCATCCCGTGGAAGGTAAGCTTATAAAAACAAGACAATACGTCCTCATGCACCTTATTCACCTGAGCTGACACTGTGCAACTTTTGGCTCTTCCCCCAAAATCCCAATGGCCATGAAAGGAAAACCCTAACAATCAATAGAGGACATCAAGGCTTCAACAAACACAACTGAAGACCTGAAAGAGGGCTTCCAGGACTGCTGCAGGAAGTGGCCAGAACAATGAGATAAGTGTATTTGACGCCAGAGAAGTTTGAGGGAGATTAATGGCAATGTGTTTTCTACTGTGATAAGTTTTTAACTTTAAAGTTCTTTAAGTTTAATTTTTAAAAGTCTGATCATTCATTTTTTATCATAGTACATGATTGATTGGCCTAAAGACTCTGCTACTTGTTAGAAGAACATACTCAAATCAGATTAAAGCTTGTTAGAAAACTAAGCTGGATTGCATGGCGGCAGTAACTTCAGGCCAAATTTAATTTAACTTTTTTTCCACTTGGCTTTCCAATTCCTCTGCTTTCTTCTGAGTCTCTACCACATGCAAGTTCTGAATCATAGCCTTTGCCTGTTCTCCTTTGCCTGCTCTTTTATTTTCACATTGCTATCGCCCCTTCCAGCCCTAAGATGCTACGCAGTTAGGTAAATACATGTCACCCATAGAATTCTATGAGACGAATGAACATAAAAACCAGATGAGCAGTCCCATGACAGTTTCAGATCAGGCCTTTAAATGGACCTGTTTATAAACTTAAATTTCAGTTACACTGGAATCAAATATAAGAAGTCAATTCGATCCCTGGTACCCCCCCCCAATAAAAAAGAAGTCAAGATATTTTCAAGGTGATATATTGCAGGATAATCATCAGAGCAGGCCAATTTAGCCAACAGTTGCTTTGCAGTGCCCCGAGACAGGAGGAATGAAACCCACAGCAGAAAAGAGCATCAGAGACAATTCCCAAGCTGTTTATTCACAGTTTCAAATAAAATGCAATTCTGGCTTCCAAATGTCACAGCCTCAAAGCTTAATAGCCCATCTGTTTCACCCCACTTCCTCTTCCACATTTTAACAAAACCATTGGGGTGCTTGGCTTTATCATCTGCATTTTCTTCTATTACCGACATCAAGACTTTGCTTTTCCTTGTTTCCTTCTTTCCTTTGTTTTTAAATTTGTCATGCATGCACTCACACACAATAGTCTCCCATCAGGATTGGAAGTAGCCAAAGGAAAAAAATATGCTCAGATTTAACTCTGGACCCAATATTGTTCTTGCAGATTCAGATATGCATTTAAATATGAAAGGCTGAGAGTTGTGTCATGGAATCTCCACCAACATCAGTGTTTCTGTTCTCATTCAGATTATTCTTCTGCATGTATCAGGAGAGTGTCATTTGGGTTTCAGACTGCAACTACATAAAAACCAGTACAGCTTCGGAAACAAATACATTTTTTTTCTTTTCTTTTTGCTTTTTTTTCCAGTGGCAAGAGTTAGCCTTCAGTGGATTTTGGCATATATATTTAAAGAAAGCTGAACAAAAGAACTGAAGAATTTGCATTACTCAGACTTGTGCCTAAGTACCTTAATATCTGCCACCTGAATAAAATGCAGAGCTAAAAAATTTTTAAGAAAATCATAGATGTATTGCTGAGTAGTTCACAATGAAACCAGATTTATTCCCAAATAAAATATATAGAGAGCCTGCCCAAAAATATATACACACTTCTGGAAAAGAAAAATAGTATGAAGTTTTTTCAACATATGGGGAACCCTGGAGGATGTCATATATTGCAGAAAAACCAGTGTCAGCCCTTTGAGAAGAAACTGAAAATGTATGTGCAGCAATCTCAGTGACCAAAGTTACCCAAGGAGTAGTTCACCATACTAATAAATGTCTGAGAGCTCATGGCCACCACTTTGAGCACCTCTTATAATTGTAGAGGCCAAAGGTAACTTGTACCAATCTCATGATGTCTCAAAAAATTCAGTACTAAAATATTTATACAATTTTTTTTCTGAAGTGAGTATACATTTTTTGGCAGACTGTATATTCAAGAACTATTTTCTAACCAAATGTATTTTCTAATTAAAATATATTTATAAATCTCTAAGATAGCTGTTGAAAAGATCCAAATGGGAAGTAGACAATCAGGGTAAGAAATATGTAATTAAGACACATTAAAAGCTCAGAGAAATCTAATCAGGAAAAAGGGCATAGTTATCTATCTCCATATATTCAATTAATTTTATTTGCTCAAATTCTTTTATTGGCACATTTTAGGTATACAATACATTTACATTTATCATTGGGTGCTTGTACCTGTACATGATGTATCTTGGTTCTTATTTTTTTCCCCATTCCCTGTCCACCCTTCCCTATTTACAAAGACTTTGGTTCCATTTTTTCCTTTTCTCATAATTTTTCCTTTCTTTCCAGGGCAATATCAATGTTACATACTATCGTACATTTTTCTGTGGAGTTAAGCTTTTCAGTGTTCATAGTTATAGCACTCAGTGCCAAATATGTAGAAGATGGACTCTGCTGGATTCATTGAATGAATGACTGAGTCAGTGTTGATTAG